CATAATTTAATTAGTGCAATCAATATGATTCACATTTAACTTAAATACTAAATTACAAATATTTGTGCAACTGCACATTAGGTCAAATGATTACTTTTTCTGTGCGAAATTAATAGCAGCTAAAATATTGCATTATTTTAATGTAAAAAGATGGAAAACGTTAAAACAAGTGTAAAGGCAGTAAATAAAATGTTAAACAGACTTGGCTTTCGTAAAACAGAACTTACTGCTTTTTTGTATGTTCAAATGATGAGTATATGTTTTAGGTATTACTCAAAAACATTGTCCAATTAGCTTGGTTTTGACACAAGCTATTTTCTTATCATACACAACCCGCTCCTCTTTAAAATGAGCTATATAATAAAATAAGTATGGTCACATGTACATAAATGGTTTCTTCTAGCGATTAGTTATAGCATTATCGAAATTCCTAAATTAAAAAAAGAAAAATATTTACTACATGTCTCGCAGATATGTCTTGAGGAGAGATTCCTAAAGCAGTTTGTCTTCATAAATCACTTCATTTTCACTTGAGGTTTCAGTATTTCCAAATTCTCCACCGATATTATCTATTTATATTCAGAATACAAATGCTGCTTTGTGACACATTTACCGAAAATCGCTGGTAACTTTCTGAAAAGAATACGAATGTTTATATAACTAATTTGTTAAAAGAATGTTCAAAGCTCTATTCACTTTGAGTAAAAGAAATTGGAAATTTCAGTCCGTGAGTTCTCTCAAGGATTTGCCTTTTTGCGAAGGCGCTAGTGTATTTGTAACATAGCCTCGGCTACGCTACAGGAGATGAAATGTAATGCAAATTGAGGCTGCTATTTTTTTTTGGTATCACATACTTCCATTTTCACTATTTATCACCATTAAAATGGATTATTTATCACCAAAAAATGTTGGAGATATTTTTGGAGATAGCTAAAAATTCGGAAAAAGGTTGGCTATCCTATTTTAGCACTTTAGCGATAGCGAAAGTTAGAATCCGGCTGATGGTCGACACAGTTGGCTTTTTGATTTCGAAAAGAACCTCATCAGCAAGAAACGTAATGTTTTCAGATATAAATATTTTAGCATCCTTTCCAAATTGTTGCCCATAATTTTCATATTTATTTGATAAATAATTGCAAAAAATACGCGTTTTTTTCTTCTAAGAGTTTCATGGAACTTTCGCAAATATCAGCAGCACCAAATTTTTTTTCAACATGGTTGACAACCGAAAAAGGCTTTTCTTTTTTCGAACATCCAATCAGCCAAACTTCAAACAACTTGCCTTTTGTGATAGCATAATAGCCCACAAAAAACCTTTTTTCATGAAAACGGCTAAAAACGGCAAATTAAGTAAAATAAATTGAACTCATTACATCTTAATTTATCCATTTCCGATTCCATTTTGTTTGCCGAAAGTTAACATAATTGGAAAAGCTTACATAAAATCATAAATTGAAATAAATCAGAAAAATTTTTGAGGTTATGCAAATAAGTCAGTTTTTTGCAAACAAATGATAAAAAGTCACTTTTTTAAATTGATACATAGGTTCTCACTTAGATATAGTTTTTTTCCCCATTTAAAATTTTCCTTTAGTTATTCGAACTTTACAAAAACAATGCACTTGAAATTTACAAAATAAACCGGTTGCGCAAACAACGTATCAATAACGTTTTGAAAGTGTAACTTTGGTTTATTGCTGTATAACGGTGTTTTTTATTTTACAAAAACTAAGTGAAGTTTCTGTTATTTTGGAGTATTCTCTACAGAATGGCAACAAAAAATAATGTAAAACTGCCTTTACGAAATTGGACTTTCGCACAGCCAAATGTATCATTTGACCTAATGTGAACTGGCATGATTCAATAATACAAGGTTAGATAATTATTGACAGCTGCGGTTTGACACTCCCTTACAAAAGGTTGCATTTACGAAGGACAGAGAAAGGGCAAGAATGCAATCCCTTGTTGCGAAAATGGTAGTAGAAAAGTACGCAAAGTAGGCAATTAGTAGTGAAATTCCTTTTGTAAATTCTAATGTATTTGCAGGAAATCTGGCATTTTAAACGAAACGTTGAATGTAATATTGATATATCTACGTGAATTACGTAATTTATATGCTAGCTGTATAAAAACTGCAAAATGACTCAAAATTAAAATAAGACTACTATGAGATTGATGTAAACATCCAATGCTTATGTTTTCATCAGTTAAATATGCTTCAAATGCATATACAAATTAACATATTCCACAGAATCGTATACTTTTATTTCATACCAAAGCTACACTGTTTCCATGTAAATTTGCAAAGAAGCAACACGGTGCCACTGCTAAGGGAGCGGTGCGAGAGAGACAACTGTCAGTTTATCGAACCTTGTATTATTGAATCATGTGCAACTGGTATGTATTAGTAAAATAAATATTCTTAATACATTTATATTTCAGTTAAACCTGAGATGTTCAAGCGCCCACCAATATTTTTCTATCCATTTTTCCAGTGCTAAAATAATTTTCACCACATAAAATTGCTGCACAACACCCTTATTGCCGAAAAAGCGTTGCTTGCAACACTAGTCCTTTATGGGGACCAAATTTGGTGGAAAAAATAGCTAAGTTTGTTTACTGGATATACTGAGCTTAGAGTACCGTGTGATAGCCAAGCTGGGTTTGGGCGATTTGTCACTTCATTAAGATCCGTGACGAGAGGTTTGAGAATTGCATAAAAAATGCATATCCACTTAAGAACGAGCGAATCGGTTTTTAACACAAGTGTGTGTGTTTCTTCGCTGCACTTGATTTATGCGGTAAATGCGATACAAATGCATGTGTGTGTTCGCTGTTCTTTGTTTATGCGGAAATGCTTAAGTCGTTTAAACCCCCACATTTTTTTATTAAAAAATATTTAGAGGTTGCTCAAAGCTCTCAAAGTTTTCCATGTATTTAATATGGGAAAAAACATTTTTTCGTAGGAATGGTATAGAATTCTTAAAAATCAATATTTGTCGATCGGAAAACTCTGTTTCTATGCAGGAGATTCCCAGTAATAATACCCAGTTGTTTATTTAACCATTTTTCATAGTAACTATAATTTATAGGTCCGCCAAAAACCCCGAAAAATGCAATGGGGGCCAATAATAAATCGTTAGTATTAAAAAACGGTTAAATAAACAATTGGGTATTGCTGCTGAAAGTCTCCTGAAGAGAACCTAAGTTTTCCGGTCGAAAAATATTGATTATCAAGAATCCTATACCATTTCTACGAAAAATTTTATTTTACGCATATAAAAATACATGGAAAACTTTAAGCGCTTTGAGCGACACCTAAATATTTTTTGATTTCAAAAAAAAAAATTGGGTATACTTTTTTCGATATAGAATAATCTTACGGGGTGCGATTAAATTAAATTAAAATTCCGATTTTGCTCTTTTTGGACCATACCATTTTTACCAGTTTTGACAATTTTTTTGTCTATTTAATGTAAACGTTTTACTAAACATAAAAAATATAATACATTTTCATCAAAATTTCAAGATTTATAATTCAAATTTCTATAAAAAAAAATTTGTATGGAGTTTTATAGCATAACAAATTTTAAAATATATAAATAGGTGCAAGTTTGTAGTCACTAAAAATTCCGCTGATTCTTAGGGCCGTTTTCTAATGTAAGCAGTAAAGTTGCCTTTACTAACAGGGCAGACAAATTGTTCCTCGCTTTAAAGTGTTTTCGTTTTCTTATCTTACGGGTAAAAATAAATTTGTTATTCCGCAGAGTGAAACTTCACTACACTTCCTAGAGTGAAACTTCACTACATTCGTCATAAAATTCCAAAGGTTGGCAATGCAACATAAGCAAATATAGAGCAAGAGCACCTGTTAGCAAAAACCAAAACCTTGGTTGAAATATCTAATATATCTAACTCATGAACCAAAACCAAACCAAAATTTAAAGTTAGGTACAAATTTTAAAGGTTGCAACGGGTAAGCAACAATTTATCGATTCGAGAAATTAATGCGCTGATGAGAAAACGAAAACTCGTATATCGAGACGATAAAGTGGCCGGTAATCTAAAGCTTAGATGAAAAACGGCCCTTAGTATTTTTTTTTTGGTGACGGTGTTGCGAATTTCCTTCCATATAAGAAAAATAAATTTACCTAAATAAATTGTGATTTCCTGTATTGCACGAATATTTAAAAGAGAATATATAGTCAAGTTTTGCTAAACACCGACATCGATAATCTTCAAAAACTATCGATAGAGGCGACAGTTTTCAACTATCGATAATATCGATAGTATCCCAACTCTACTAATGTTGGCGGATGTCCTTTCGACGTACTGCCAATATAGAAGTATTAAAAACAGGGTGTCCTAGACCACCCGTCCACCTCCTCTAAAATGCCGGAAATGTTATTTAATGAAAAACGGAAAAATATTACCTTCCAAATCTGGAATGCTCCAGATTTTGGTGGTATTACCGACTTCCGGTATCGAACGGCAAGTCCATTTTTTATACTATACATACATGTTTTTACTACAGTTTCGGGTTCAGAGTATAAAAATACGTAACTTTTGTTTGAAATTTTTTTTTCTAAAGTGCCTCTTTCAACCTCTAAGTGATCTTCAAACTTCAACTGGTCCTGGACTTCTTAAATAAGTGAAAATGCTTTTATTGGAAGACGAAAAAATATAAGGCGGGGATGCTCTATCTTTTGGTCGTATTGACGACATCCGGTTTCTACAGGGAGTGCATTATTTTACCCGGAGGTCCATTCCAGATAAAAGTTTCCGACAAAAGTATGTATTCTAGCCGCACAATCAGAATCTGTGGTAAAAACATGTACATATATCCCATTAAAAAAAAACAATTCCGGTCAAAACCACGTTTTTCAATAAAAAAAAAACGTTTCCTCCTTTTTAGAGGGGGTGTACGGGTGGTTAGTACAGCCTGTATGTGTATGTATGTGAATGTGTGTTAGAAATTTTATATGTGCGATATTCCTTACTTGTAATTCATCCTTGCAATGTCGTTCTTCCTCCAGTGACATACGCTTTTCATGCTTTTTGTAGTACTTCCGTTTTGCGGCTTGCAAATTGAACCATGAATACGAGAATGATTTGACGAAGGGCAGAAGTGCCTCGATGAACGGATGAAATTCATCCTAAGTTGATGTTTATTTAAATACGGCAATGATACAAAAAAGAAAATATTTCATGAATCTTTACGATCTCCAAATTCACAAAGATTGAGTACTCAGTAACACATTCATGTATCTAAATGCTCACATAATAGAAATCAGAGTAAAACATTCTAAAAACTAAACTTTAAAATACAAAATATGTACAAATATACATATGTATGTATTCGCGCACTCATATGCATATTATGGTATATGTACTTTATATGTATGTATGTATTTTGCGGATTGCGCTGCTGAGAGTAAGAGCGTGCTAATTTGTATACACAGGGATCCACGCGTGACAGACGGGCATGCTCTTCTTCTTTATAAAAACCTTTATATGCATGAACTCATGCATATGCGGATAAGCGCTCGTACAAATGTATTTACACTGAATTTGCTGATTTCATGCTGGCAACGCGATCGACATTTGCGAACCATTTGCCATCGTGTTTAAATTTTCTTAAAAAATACAGTTAAATTATGAAAAATTTAGATGGTTTTAAATTTTAGCTGCCTGTGAATCCATACCACGCGCCAATGAAAAAACTGCATGTATGTATGTATGTATGTATTAGAGATAGGTACGAAGTATCGGTACTCGCGAGAGCCGTGATTCTTATTTTAAAATAAATGGGCTGAAGGTCTTTAAACATTTTCGGGAGGGACGAGAAAAACTCTCTTCTCGACACTCCCTGTGAGGCCCTCATCTTCTAAAAATACAAAAAATCTCCCTTAAAAACGTTATATTAAATTAGCACTTTTGAATGTTATATTGAGAGGAAAACGAACGGCAAAGCAAAATAGAATAACGAGAGGATGGCAGATTCCTTCAGTATGACGAACGTAGGATACTCGAAAAAAATATATTCAAGTACATATCTAACTTATTTACAATTATCTTGAAAATCATTTAAATTTTATTTAATAGCGGGCGCGTTCGGCACCTAAAAAATTTAAGTCGGGATGGGCGGACTCGGGATTAAATATTTAGTTCCGCGCCCATCTCTAGTACATTTGCACGTTCACAAAGGCAAAAAGCCTTGGACCGTGTGGTCCATTTTTATCAAATTGGAGTACTTTTAAAGTGCTTCTCTGTTATACTGTAGCGGACCTACTCGTGTCTCCACGCCAGCTAATTTTTACCCGATCATTGCTCGTATTGAAAGCCCTACTTATACCTTCATATGTATGCTTGTGTGTATGTATATATATGCAGACACTAAAGAATTATTTTACTATATATCAACAAATCAGCTGCTTCCGAAATGCAGATAAGTATCGCACAGTGCGCAGAATAAATTTTTTTTGTGACTGAGAGCATTAAGCGAAATAAATTTAACAGTATATTAAAGATAACTCAAAAAAAAGATGAAACAAATTTCCTTGACTGAAAATTACCTTCAAATAAGAGGATTTTCCATTTCATTCCATTTTTGACCAGATAACAATCAGGGCTGGCAGACGTTTCGAATCTAAATTCCGTACACGGGCGGGTGGGTGAAAAATCCGTACAAAATCCATACGCTCATTTTTTTTTTTGTGAATCAAAAAGCAATATATGCAGACGAACACAGACAATCCTACTTCCAACAACATGAAATACAACAACACATTTTCCCACTAGACCTATTTATTTTTAACTTCACAGACAAAGTTATTGTTTTTCTGACTAGAACATTTTAACAAACTATTTATTATATTTAAAGTTAAATTACTGCCCCACTGCTATAAAAAAAATAAATGAAAGTATTAAATTCAGTTACGAAACCATAATAGAAATAGTTAATTTTATATGGATTAAGTAAACAAGTGTTGCCACATATCATTGCCACTTACCACACATATAATTGGATATGGGCAAAACAGGCAAATGTATATAATATGAATAAAGGCATCAAAGCCCGTACAAAAATCGGTATACCTTATCGGAAAGCTAAAAATTAGTACACTCAATCCCTACAACTATTTTGACCACCGCGAATCCGTACCGTACTGAAAAATCCGTACTTCTGACAAGGCTGACTAGGGTTGCCAACATTTTGTAATATACTTATAGTACTATTTCAAAAAAAAACTCAAAAAATAAAGTACACTTCAAATATATATAGTATTTTATTTGAAAGAACAAGTATAAACGCTTGTTAAGTAAACATCTTTTTTCTTAATATATTTCTTTGCACTTTTGGTAGTTTTTCACAATTTCTTGTTAACCACGAAAGTATTATATTCTTTATCGCAATCAACATTTAAATTAATATAAAAGTTAATTTTTGCTTTCCTTTTATTAGCTCGGGATGTAACTATGTAATATTGATGCGCCTAAAAGATGCAGCGATTTCTATTCTCAAGTTACATACCTGATGACAGTACGAATGGCAATTATAATAGGGAGGTTTCAGTTTTTTAAACTATAATTTTATTTGTTAGTGAGGTAGTCGCTTTGTTTCTCTCATCTCGCTATTTCACAGCCATAACAGAAAAAACTCTTCCAGTAAATGCCGAAGTAGCAGGAATAGAGAGTAGAAATGAATTAATTTTAAGTATCTAAATTTGGTTACTCATTATCAGTATTTTTAAAAATGCTTCCATTTCTGGTCTGTGGTTCTATTCATGAACTCACCACGACCTTTTATTTTGAAGAATATTTCTTGTAATATTGTTATTTCAGTATAAAGGTCATCCATTTCATACACATATTTTCTTACAAATTACTGAAATTTATTTATATTTATAGCTGAAGAAATATAGTATTTTTTTCAACAGTATATAGTACGCAGACCGAACAGTACAATACTATATATTATAGACCGGTTGGCAACCCTACGGGCTAATAACCATATACTATATGAAATTTGTAAAAAAAAACATATTTTTGCAGTTCATGCTGTCAAAGGTAAAAAGAAATAATATATGAAAAAATTTGCTTTTGACGGTCGTTTTAAGGTCAAGGAAATTTTTCATTCATTACGACTTTACCCTCGAAAGTAAATTTTTGCCAACTTTATTTTTCAGTTTTTGCTATCATGGAAATTCATCCCCTGACGCAAGCATAGCAAAAAGTTATGATTAAAACTTTTTAAAAATGGCATTGCTTATTACTTTCAGGTTAAGAAGGGACAAATATTTTTAGTTAAATTTTGTCACAAAAAAAAGTTCATTATCCACACTGTGTGTCGTATGTCAAGGTAAAATTATTATACGCATTTGTGTGCTAGTTAATCTGCATAGGCGTGACCGTCTGACACGAGTGTTAAAGAGACAAGTACATACGAGCGTATATGTATGTATGTATTCGTATGGGAATTCAGTGAAGCCTGTCAAAGCCGGAATCGCAAAGAACCAGACGACGCACAGTGTTTCGACTATATGGAGGCAGGTAGAAAAGAGTCATGGTGACAGTTGGTAAAAAAAAACCGATTTGACTTAGAGAGGGAATATTAAAAGTCATAAGTATCAAATTTTACATTATTTACTCACCCCCCTTCTTCACGAACGATACATTTCCAAAAATTACGGGAATGGGCGCGATACCGACTAATCAGTTTAGTTGCATTTGGCGCTGAACCCATTACAGGAAGTGTTTCTTTTTCAATTGTAATTAATTATCTAAATGTCGTGGAATATTCAGGTGAAGGTATTTATCATTTATTTGGTATTTTCCTATTTTCTTACCAAAAAATTTACTTTGAAATGTAGATGCTAAAGATTATTAGTAAAAAAAAGTGTGAGTACCGGTCCGTCACGTCTTGAAATTAGACTAATATTTTAGAGAATTTTATGTAGTTTTCTAATATATAATTTGATCTTTGCGCGCGACTTTGCAAATATATGTAATTCTTGATTGTCTTAATTTTTGATTTTCAGCTTCATTTTGCATAATTTAGCGAAAAGAATTTTTCAAACAATGAAAAAATCCTACCAGATATTGGGAAAAAAGCGAGTATTGACACCTAAGTCATTTTATTGTATAACCTTTGTTTTCTGAGAGTGGAAAGCAGGAAACAAAAATTACCCAAAATTCCATCACATTTAATGACTGGGCCCACATTTTTTGTGAGTTTTGAACGTTATAGTAATGCAATCTTCCCCATATTTTATATTTAGGTTTTTCTAATAAAAGAAAGACTACAAACTAAATTTCATCGAAATCGGATAAGATTTAATGTTTCCGCCCACAAGAGTAGAGGGCGTGGCAATTATTCCATCTTTACAAAATTTCATAATTCTCTATTTCTAAGTAAAACTAGAGCACATGTCAAGTTTCAGTGAAATCGGTGCAGGTGTACTATTATTTCCATCTGCCTCCATATAGTCGAAACACTGTGCGACGGTAGGATAAAATATATTTCATTGTCTTAGTATAAAATAATAAGTTTTCAGTGCATGTTTAAAAAACTTTATTTCTTATGGAAAATAAAATTAAAATATTAAGCAAAAGATAGCTACAGAGTTGAAATTAATTGTTCTCTGGGAAAAGCGAATTGAGAGAAACTAAATTTGAACAAGTGACATTTTTACGTCTTCCACAGTTAGTCGCTTCTCATGGTTCCGTCACAAATTAATTCACATAGGCCCTAACCAACAATATTTTTTAATTTTACGGGAGAAGCAAAAAACATTATATAAATCAAATCATGCATACGTATACGACGTTTAAAAAAGTGGCATAACTCCTTTGTTATTGGTACTAACACTTTAACATTTTTAGTGAAGGTGTATTTTAATATATCCTACCAAAATCTGTGAAAAATGCAGTTACGAAAAACAAGTTGGTTAAGGCCTTTGTGAATTAATTTGACGGATATATACATAAATAGAGGCTCTCATATGTACATATTTGAATTTACAGTTTGAAAGCAGATTTAGCGATACATACACAGTTACATATCGTCACCTGAAATGCAAAAAGACGTAGCTGACATGATCGTTGAAATGCAAAAAGTCATATCTAATAAAAAATTCAAAATACACTTTTTGAT